TTGGGTTTTCATGAGCTGTATGCCATAATCATCAGTATTAAAACAATGAAAGACCTGAAATATTTTCGTTGGTGTGCAATGAATCTGAAATATATGAAAGTTTCATTTTTATCATTACATTATGGAAATAATGACCTTTATCACAATATGCTAATTTTTTGAGAAGGACCTGTATATCGATGTGATAATAGGCCTGTCGTGAGAACAAATTTTGCTGGGCAATTAATTGTCTCAGAAATTATTGCGATAAACTATAACGTTGTTTGAAATTTGACAATAATTAGTAATTATTGTCAAATTTAAAAAGAAATGTTAGTAAATTTGTTTTGAGTGTAGTACCATTTTTTAACCACTGGATGGCAGTATAGGACTGAACGAAGGATGGATAGTAAGGGAGCGAACAGTGTGTCTCTTTATGAAAAATGGAAGGGAGGGCCCTTGACGTGACATGGGCTGTCTGTCTTTCCTTTTCTTTGAGTTCTCAAAATGGCAGACGCTCGGTGTGGTTTGAGCTCTTTAGCGTAGCATTTTTCACACAAAGCTTTTAATAAAAAAAAATCAATAAACAAGTTCTCAGCTTCTTTTTGCAGAGAAAAACAACTTTTTACACGAAGGCATGGGTTTCAACCGTGAATTCTGGAGCTTCGACAAGACTTAGTTTTTTTTTCTCGAGGTCGGTCTGTTAGCTTGGCTCGTAGCTTAGCTCGTAGCTTAGCTCGTAGCTTAGCTGCTTTTAACCATCCAAAAGCACGATTTTGGATGGTTAATGGTAAAAGAGAAAGGGAGGGGTCAGGGAAGAGCACCGGAGTTGAGCCTTTTGTCATCCAGTGTCTTCAGTAGAAAGAGAGAGACACGAAGAAACGATAAAGTTGATAAATGAAAATGAGGTTGATAATTTTCATTTATCATGCAATTAATTGAGTTATTGTTTATTGTCACAGGCCTATGTGATAATTTAAAATAATCTTTACCACATTGTGTCAGAGGGTTGGTGTGAGTGATCGGATTGTGTTGATCATTTACATGTGCTGTTGAGGAGCTTTCCAAAACTTTTCTAACAAAACAGAAGAGTTTCCCTGTCTCTTACAAACCCATTGCACTGATGATGGCATCCTAAATTCTGCCACATTATTATTATTATTACTTTTGAATAAAAAACAACAAAACAATAGTCAAGAAAACACCATGTTGTGCTTGACTGGGTGCTTAAGCTCTGAAAAAGGAGCCACATGTACAAACTCTTGAAACATCTTTTCAGATTAGGTTTAACACGGATCCATTTAAACTTTTTATCTTCTGTATTGTTTGTACTGTATTCTTTTAGTTGATCAGCTGAATCAGCAGTCGTGCGCAGCATTTACTTATAAATTGCTGCTGTGCAAAGGAAGACGCCAGGATGTGAGTGCTCTGCTTCAAACTTTGCGAACATCAAAGCTTCTCTACGGGATTTTTACTCACACAGGCTGTTTCCCTTTATCTTGCCGTGTCAGTTCTATTTGCTTCTCCAAACAAATCCAATTATTTTTAGGACTTTTACAGAAAACAATGGGTGGGAACGTCTGGCCTCTTCAGGAAATTGCTCCCACATCCCAGACAAAGTGACAGACAGTTCCCACACCCCCTTTTCAGTCAACAAAAATAAAGTGCAGGGTAAAATAAGATGGAAAAACGTGAAATTATGTCATTTGTCATAGCAAATTGAAACATTTCAACACGGTGAACGCTAGTTCAGAGGTGTGTTTGTGTGTGTGTTGTGTCCGTATATGTGTGGAGGAAGCCTCGGCAGCAGGGGCTTCATGGTTCTGCCCTCCCCTGCACTCTGGGGCAGTGTTTTGGACTGGGTCCCAGGACCGAGCCTAAGGCACACCGATCCTCTTCTCCAGCCTCTCGGGAGCGCTGCTAACATTATTACATCAGCCTGGGAGACATAGAGGACCAGTGTGTGGGTGTGTGTGCTCCTCTCAGCTCTTTACTGTGAAGCAAAACAGAGTGGCCGGCAGATCAGCTCCTCTCCTCCTGAAAGTATGGAGCGTCTCTGAGGGCAGATAGGAGCGACTCAGCCATGGCTTTGAGCATCATTCGAGGAATGGAGGACCTGGTGGCATCGGGCAGCCAGCTCGTCTGGAGCCTGGCTCATCAGACGCTGAGGAGGTTTTACAATCGTGGGATGATGCCATGCCGGCGCTTCCTGGAATCCTGGCTCAGGATTGGAAAATGCTACCAGGTTTGTCAACTTTTAGATCAATGAATCATTTCACACTTTGTGTGTTTTTTGTCTGAACTACTGTCAGGATTTATTAGTTTCCCTTCCTTTGGCTCCACTTTCCTCTGGATTGGCACTTTTTTCTCATCTGGCTCATTATCGTGTGCCATGTTTACTGTAAGGAGGTGCAGGCTGCCTCTTAAGCCACAAAACATGATTTTTAACAAGGGTCCCTTTCCCTGCACATGTGGCAGCATTTTCAAAAGCAGCAGGAGCAGCCGTTTGATCTGGCGGTCTGGGGAACTTGGTTGTTGTTTCTGAAACACCTGAACGCTGAACGGAGTAAATCTGAGCGTGGGCAGGTTTCTTTTTCTTTTATCTCAGGATACTGTTAAGAAACCACCATTATTTAGCGAAAAAATTATTCTTCGTAACCTCTTATGTAAAAGCTCATGTACCGAGCAGCACTGTGTGTGTTTAAATGTTTTAATTTAAGCATGTTTTCATTTAATTAAACAAAATTAACAGATCAGTGGGATAGTTTGAACAGTTCACAGCTTGATAAGTCATCAGGAAGTAGACATATTAGTTCTGCCCATTATTCATTTAATTAAAGGTGCTCGTGCACTTTTATCAATATTTAGTCGTTTGTTTTGTTTGTTTCAGTTCCAGTTTTTGATTTGCTTCTTCTTCAGGTTTAGACAAATTTGTTATATATCAAAAGTGCTTACAGATTTGTCTCAAACCCTTCTAGAGTGCAGAGGTTACTCATCCAATCTCTCATTTACTCCCATTTTATGTGAGCCCAGAATTTTCTCTTCAGATCTTGAAAGATATTATGACTGTATATTACGGCGTATAAGTCACAGTTTTTTCCATAGATTTGTCAGTCCTGAAACTTGTACACCAAAGTGACTTATATACGTTTTTATTTTCCATATTCATAACGCAATTTTTGACTGATGCTTTAAATTTCTAAGAACTGCAACAACGAGTCCTCATGCATGCTCGCTTCACTCAGCTGGTGCAGGCGGATGAACGCTGGAGAGCTACCGGCTTTGGCCTGGATGGATGGATGGATGACTAGATGGATGGATGGATGGATGGATGTTGCCGTGCTGCCCAGGCAAAATGAATCCGTTTTGACCATTAAAGTGCATTTATTAAGGAAAAGTTAGACTGAGACACACCTTTACTATAATGTCGAGCAAACAAATAATTGTTTTTAAGTGTTAATCTTGTTAAATTTTGAAGAACTGCAACAGTGAGTCCTCCCGTGCATACTCGCTTCACTCAGCTGGTGCAGGCGGAGGAACACTGGAGAGCTCCCGGCTCTGGCATGGATGGATGGATGGATGGATGGATGGATGGATGGGTGGATGGGTGGCTGGCTGGCGCCATGCTGCCCAGGTGAAATGAAGCTGTTTTGACCATTAAATAAATACATAATAAATGTGACTTATACGCCGAAGCGGCATATATGTTTTTCCTCTTCATGGTGCGACTTATACTCTGGAAAATACGTTATATTTCCTACATAAACCACTGAAACATAATATTGACACGCGTAACAACCAGATAATCCTGTCACTTGCAGTTTGGACATTTTGTCAATACATCTTAGGTCCTGTTTACATGAAAACAATCCAATGAAAATTTAATTTTTTCTCATTACTATTAACACATTTATATGAAAACGTCCTAACTACAATCTCTGTTTACACAGCAACGGTACAAGTGGAAAAGGTGTAATTCCCTCACCCTGCCACTAGTTGGTGCTATGTTCTTTGAAACTTGAAACTATCTAATTTAATCTGTAATCGGATGTGCTTTGCACCCAGGTTCACAGAGATGGAATAACGGATTCCTCTGATGATAACAGACACAGCGGCTCGTGACAAACCAAAAGTGTTGGCTGTTTTTCAGATTCTTCCCTCGTCACTTAAACAATAAAGTGTACAGGCCACCTTTTTTAAGACATCAACCGATGATCTCATGGTTGTCCGTTGCCCCTCGATGTAGGGGCGAAGTTCTTCACTCAAATCGACAAGGGATTGCTTTGACAAACGAAAGTTCTCCGTCCATTCCTTCTCATTGACTACATTGTTTACAAAGTTATCCCACCACTGACTTGTCCTCCCAGGTCACGTCCAGTAACACCTCTTAGCCACTTTTCTTCTTCACATACTTCTGTTAAGTAAAAGAGTGGAGCTGTATGAGATCCGTCTTCGATGATTTAAGTAAAGAGGTAGAAAATGAGCGCTGTGTTGGAGAGCCGAGTTAGATTTATAAGGGTCAGAAGCACAAACAATACTTTGGTATCCGCCAATGTCAATAGTTTCTTCTTCTGTGGATTGTAGGAAGTTGTTATGTTTTGCGTTATACTGCGCATGAGCCAGGGATTCCCTGACAGAAAAGATTTTTTTTTTCTGTTTACACAACAACGGACACCGGGACATTTTTGAAGCATTGCACTCTGTAACCTGTTCTCAAATTGTGTCGTCGTCAGAGAAAACATTTGCTATTTCTGTGTAAATGAACAGTACAAACACAACAAATCTCTTCCATTTTCACCAGAAATCGTTTTTGTGTAAACAGGGCCTTAGTTTTTGCATGACTGTTAGAGGCATATCCACCAAAGTTAAGTCAGGTCCTCCAGATGGTTTCTTGTTGAAACGTTTCGTCTTTCATCCAAAATATTTCATAAGTCCAAGGAGCCACAACAAACTCAGTCTCATAAATGGCATCTTCATGGGTCAACCAGTTTGATGGTGCTCAGCCGGTTCCTGCATTCCCCTTCTCCCCCGCTGATTTGTTTTAGGCAAACATGGCCAAAGTGGTTCATAATATCCAGATTCTTGCTCAATAATCCAGGTATAAAAATCTAACAAAGTTATGTCAGGTCATCTGAATGGTTCCTTAAAGGTTTCAACAAAAAGAAAGTGTCCAGAGGATCTGACTTAACTTTGTTGGATTTTCCTACTTGGATGTTTGAGCATGCATCAGGATTGTTTGTGGCATAATTTCTACTCTGTATTTCTGTCAGCCTGTCATGAGGGGTGCTGTTGGGAGTAAAAAGCAGATGTGTGGTTACCACGATGACTCTAATGATCCCCTGGCACAACTCGGTGCTCTTTACTCTTCTTGCACGGTGTACACATCAAACTGTGGACATTCTGAGATAACTATAATGAAAGTCCCTGATTTTATTGAGCTTTAGGGTGCATTCACACCAGCCTATTTAGTCCGCTTAAATCGAACTCTAGCTCATATGGAGCCGTCAGCTGCCTTGTGTGAAAAACAATATTCTCCATGGTCTTCTGTTTCATCTTCTGCTCATGCTAAGTCCATTTTTGAAAAATGACAACTTATAACTCCTAAAACTGCTAAAACTTGATGCCACTCTGTTTTTGTTTTTATTTCCAGAAGAAGAAGACGTGTCTTCAGAGGTTTTTGTGTTGTTTCTTTCAGTAGTTCTTGGTGCAGCACCCCCACAGGCGAGTGTGGGAACAGGTTGGTTCAACAGGTTGACTCGACTGCACAGTGCAGTGTGAATGCAAACGCACCAGCTCAAATGTAAACAAAATGTCATGAATATTGGTCCCGAACCGAACCGAGTCTACCGGACTATCAGGTGTGAAAACAACATTAGAGCAGAGAATGATGCATGTTGGGATTTTAGGCTGCAGCTTCATATTTTCCTCAGAAATGTTTCTATTCATCCAATGGCACCCTGTGGGCTCCTGGAGTTCATGGTGCTCAGAACTGGACCTGATCACATGACTTTGGGGGTGGTGAACTAGACCACATTGGCTTTTTTCAAGAAGGGAACCTTGTTCTGAATCTCTGGTCTTTACATAAAGAAAAGAAGATTAAATGCTTTATGACTTCAGTTAACAAGTCATTTTACTGCTTGTAACTGTTAATTGCTAAATGACTTCTTGAAACGTATCTACTTAATGAAAAGAGTTAAGGATTTTGAGTCACATGCACAGATTTTTAAGATGAATGTGAGGTTTAGTGGCAGCTCTTTGATTCAGACCAGTCTGCTCATTAAATTGTAAAAATGAAATTACAGCTTTGATGTGGCGCTCAAAACAATTGGAGCTGGGAGACTGAAGTTTAAGACTGCAGGGCGTCCGCCAGTCCTGCCGTCCCACTGACTGGACTTCAACATGACCCTGATTTTCCACTGTACAAACAACGAGCGTCAGGCCGCATTAATTATTATTTATTTTTTAACTGAGGTCACGTCACACACCAGGACTCCTGGACATGTTTAGTGGGATAATATTGAGTCAACAACTGTCCAGCTAAGCTTCAGAGTGTTATTATATTAGCAAATAGAAATAAAGTCCATCTAATAAAGGTTTGGGTTTGGGGTGAGGTGGGCTGCCTTATCAATCCCTAGATGAATTTATTGGTTTTTAGAAAGTTGTCACTGAATTAGGGCATTAACAGAGTACTCGAGTAATCTACACATCGATTGCTAGGACATCTTTCGAGGTTAAAAATTTAACATCGAGTATCCGTAGTGACGTCATATTATGTGACCACCGTATGACCGTAGGGGGCGGTGTTGCACTGTTGCAGGTCACAGAGTATGGTGTAACACCGGGTCCAATCCACCAAACCAGTTTCGGTTAAGTTTCGTTTTTGACGTGCTGCACATTTCTTCACGTTTGCAGTTTAATAATAATAACTAATAGTTTAGTTTTTCCTGTGACTTATTTGCAGTATGATAAATGGTAGGAGCATAATATACGCTCCCAATGTTTTGTTGGTCTTTTTTTTTTGTAAATAATTATCTTTTTTTGCGGTTTTTATTTATTTATTTATTTTTGTACCTTGAGATCTATGACATCATCAAATACTCGAGTTCTACTTGGGTTTTATTATGTTAATGTCGAGTTTAAAAATTATATACTCGTTCAACCCCTACACTGAATGGATGTTTACAACTGAAAACCTTTGTGAGTCAGCCCAATTCAAGATGGCCACCACAGCTAACTGATCTTAGC